TTTTTTTCTAAAGAAATAGGCAAAACCACCAATGGCAGCTCCCGAGAACTGTGCCCAACACAGAGCCTGGCACCCCAGAAGACACTTCACCGGTATTTGTTGCCTTCAGCCAGAATGTAGATCCCAGCTTTCCTGGCTGTTTGAGGTGGAGCAGGTTTCTCACTCTCTAGGGAACCGGCTTCCAGATCTGTAAGCGGTTCACGATAGGGAAGCTCACCGGTGAGACGTCGGCGCGCTGAGGACACCACCCCATAGGCCCCGTTGCCTATGGTCTCAATGATCTCGTACTCGTCCCCCACGTCAAAGGTCACATCGAAGGAGCGCGCTTTCAGCAGGGCCAGGTTCTTGGCCGCTACACAGGCAGCGGTGTTGGTGGGTTCCGCCTTCACCGGCCCGGGCGGCTCCCCAGAGCCGTCCTCGCCTTCTTCCTCCTTCAGGGGTTCGGCCATGGCTTCTGTGCGGAGACGCTGGTGAGGAGGGGCCCGCCGCCCTCCCAGGCCTCAGTTTCCCCTCTAGGAGGCTGGGGAGCAGTACCAGGGAGTTACTAAGTTCCCCAAGCCGACGGGGGCCAGGTAGGGAGCGAAAGAGAGCGGCTGGCACGCAGTCGTCGTCCCACACCCGGACTTGGAACCCAGAGCTCAGGTCCGGGGTGGAACGCAGGGTGGGAGGTGGGGGAGGCGCCGCCAGGCGCGGTCCAGGAAGAAAGGGAGGGGCGGGGCACTTCGCTTTTCTCGGTCAACACTCACCGAATGGCGCCCCACTCCGACACCTCCTCGGGGCCTTCGGAGGTCGCCGGTGCCCCCTGCCTCCCCGATCTCCCGTCCCCCGTGGAGGGGTACTAAAAGAGTCGCTCGCTCACTTGTTTAAGGCCGCCGCCACCACCTCAGCGTCGTGCTCTGCCCAGCCGGTCCCCCCGCCCCGCCTCCCAAGACCACGCTCCCTCCAGCTTCTAGCCAATCGCTGGGCGGTCTCTGAGGAGGTTCCCACCCCTTCTACTGGCTGCGTCCAATCCGAACCCACCTGCAGAGGAAACCACGCCTCCGCCCGCGCGCGCGCGCCGCTGTCCAGCTTGCCCAAGGGAGCCGCCCAAAGGGCTCTCGGAGCTTCGCAGGGGTGCACCATCCGCCCAGCGCCGTCTTCTGACGCATGCGCAGTAGCAGCCCCGGGCGCCGCGTGAATGGAAGGCAACGTCCCCGTGCGTGCGCGCGCACTGCCATCCTGCGCTTTGACTGCTCGCTAGTCACCTCTGGTCCCGGGAGCTGGAAGGGCTGAGGTGCGTGGATCTGTCACCCTCTTGGTCGGCTCATGAAATCTCCCTTCTTAGGCCCCTTTCCCTCTATCAGTCCCCATCGCCCGAGGAATTATGCACCACCCACTCATTTTCCCGATCGGCTGGGAGCTCGGCTCTTGGTAATGCGCCACCCAAACTATAGGGTTGATCCGACGCGTCCAACCACAGAGACCCTGGGCCTCTGGGATTCTAGAGCGGCCGGCCTGAAGCTGCCACTGACTTCCGGTGGTTGGTCGTCCGCCCAGCTTCCGGAGTCCCCGGGCATCCGCTCGGGTTTTCCCGGCCTCCTGCGTGTTCTCTCCGTCGGTGGTTCTGCGGTGGTCTCCGCTCTTTGGGCTGCGGCGGAGCTGAGGGGGAGAGCGAGCGGGGCGTCCAGCCTCTACCCCTCCGCGGAGCCCGCGGGTCAGCCGAGCCCAGAGAGGGAGGAAGCAGTACTGGGATCCAGGTGCCCCGCCCCACTCCGGCGCCGGTAGTTCGTTCGTCCGTATAGCAAATACTCGTCGAGCACCATCCCTCAAAAGCTCAGTGCGGAGGAGGCAGCGGTGACACGGGGACAAGTATGAACGTGGTGGGGAGGAAAGGTTTTCCGGAAGCTCGAGGTAGTGCTGTAAGGAAAAGGGCTTTGGAGTAGGGACCCCAAAGGTAGCTCTTTCCGCCGAGTGAGAAGAGGGAAGGGCTCAGACGACGATATGGAGGCGAGAAGTACAGGATCGCAGGCTCTGCCCTGAATAATGATCAATGACCGGTGGGTGGAACCCCGTGGTTAGACTCCGAGTGCCGGGTAGAGAGGGTCTCTTCCTTACATCACTAACTAGCGGCTGAAAAGTGGATCCAGACCAGGAACGAATTTTGGCAAGCCCTACACTCTTCCTAAAAATTTTGTTTTGTTGGGGCGCCTGGCTGGCCCAGCTGGTAGAGCGTGCCAACTCTTGATCTCAGGGTTGTGAGTTCAAGCCCCACGTAGGGTGTAGAGGCTAAAAAAAATAAAATCTTAAAACCTTTGTTTTGTTTATATTCCACACTGTTGTGTTGTGTTTTGTTTTGTTTACTTTTTACATACAGAAAGTCAGACGTAAGTGTATAGTTCAATCAGTTTTCACAAATTTAACACAACAGTTGTATTGAATTCAGATAAAAAAACTATCAGCTGCTCAGAAGCCCCTTCTCTTTAATGGTGGCAGTTCCCCCCCACCCCGCTCCCGCCCCTTGGTAACTCTTCCATACTTTTTTTTTTTTTAGCACTGAATTAAAAAAAAATTTTTTTTTAACATTTATTTATTTTTGAGACACAGAGAGACACAGCATGAACGGGGGAGGGGCAGAGAGATAGGGAGACACAGAATCGGAAGCAGGCTCCAGGCTCTGAGCCATCATCCCAGAGCCCGACGCAGGGCTCGAACTCGTGGACCGCAAGATCGTGACCTGAGCCGAAGTCGGGCGCTTAACCGACTGAGCCACCCAGGCGCCCCAGCACTGAATTTTAAGAGGTTTATTGGGATCATACATTAAAATGAAAAAGTAGATACTGCGTCTTTTAAAAGTCAAGGAAAAACATACTTGTCTAAGGTCAGCCCCTGGAAAAATAGCTATCTAGTATTTAGACATATAAAGATCCCATATGGGTCTCCCCGGTTAATTAAGGTTGAGCTATGAATTTGTTTCTGGTTTTTCTCACAGCATAACAAAAAACCATATTAACCGTTGCACTGAATATTAATAAACCGCACTTGAGGAAAGGGAACATTTTCTGTCACTGGGGTCTGAAAATAGTACTTGGATGGCCTTTCTTTAGGGGGCACAGTAGACAATCTTCCCTAACTCGAGTATGTCTAATATGAGGCCTGCAGTGACCTTCAGTATAAGTAGAGGTCATAAAACAGCAAGACACAGAAACTCACGTAGTCAGGGGACTGGGTGGGCATCTGTGTGATGGTCCTGTCTGATTCAGGAAGAAAACAAAGTATCGTAAGAGAGTCATACATAGACTTTAGTTACCTCTCTATAAAAACTTCAGCTAGGCTGGGTATACAGTTATAGGCTATTCAACATTCTCTGACAAAAACGGATTCTCATCCACTTTTTTTTTTTTTTAATGTGTATTTTTGAGAATGAGAAACAGTGTGAGCTGGGGAGGGACAGAGAGAGAAAGAGACACACAGAATCGGAAGCAGGCTCCAGGCTCTGAGCTGTCAGCACAGAGCCCGATATGGGGCTTGAACCCACGAACCGTGAGATCACGGCCTGAGCCGAAGTCGGCCCCTTAACCGACTGAGCCACCCGGGTGCCCCTCTCATCTACTTTTCAATCTACTACGAGCTGCCTTCTTTGCCTCTACCCTCACTGGGCCCTGACTCTGTCCTGGAAAAGTCATCAATTATCTAACTATAGGCAAATCCAATGGATGTTTTTCGGTCTTTGCCTTACTGAGCTCTGCTGCATCGGACACAACTGACCATTTCTTTAGGAAAAAAGCATCTCGAGGCGCCTGGGTGGCTCAGTCAGTTAAGTGTCTGACTTTGGCTGAGGTCATGATCTCATGGTTCGTGAGTTCGAGCCCCACGTCAGGCTCTGTGCTGACAGCTCAGAGCCTGGAGCCTGCTTCAGGTTCTGTGTCTCCCTCTCTCTCTCTTTCAAAAATACATAAACCTTAAAAAAAATTTTTTTTAATGTCTCACATGGCTCAAAACTTGTTATAAGAAGGCTTAAGTGAAAAATCTTGGCCCTAACCCCAGGCGGTCACTTTTGTTGTCTCTTACAATACAAATTCAATACAAATACACATTTTTGTCCAACTCCTCTTTAATAAATACAAATTCTATACACCTTTCCTAAAGATCATTAAATATATCAATAACCAAAGTGGTCCCTCATTTTTTTAAAGGTTTTATTTATTATTTATTTTTAAATTATTTTATTTATTTTTGAGAGAGAGGGAGGCAGTGTGAACAGGGAAGGGTCAGAGAAGGATGGAACAGAGACCCTGAAGCAGGCTCCAGGCTCTGAGCTGTCTGCGCACAGGGCCTAATGTGGGGCTTGAACTCATGAACAGTGATATCATGACCTGAGCCAAAGTCGGCTGCTTAACCGACTGAACCACCCAGGCGCCCCATTTTTTTTTTTTTTTAATAATAGCTTTTTTTGAGAGAAAATTCACATGCTATAAGACCTAAAAGCGTAAAGGGGCACCTCGGTGGCTAAGTCAGCTAAGTATCGGGCTCCGTTTTGGCTCGGGCCATGATCTCACAGTTTCACGAGTCCGGGCCCCGTGTCCAGCTCTGCACTGACAGGGTGGAACCTGCTTGGGATTCTCTCTCTC